ATTTGAGTGTTTCATGGGTTGTCATTTTAGATCTGGCCATTTTGTGGCCTCATTTGGCTGAAAGTTGCAAGCTTTATGAGGATTTTGGTGTCATGCATGCATTAAGCCAATTATTAAGTTCATTTCAAGCTTAAGTGCTTCATTTAGACATGCATGAACGTAAAGCTGGCAACTTTACGTGGTTTTCCAGCTCAAGGAAGTCAGATCTAGGTTTTGGGGTCATGTCCTTATGGATTGAGTGCTTATTGTATTAAGTTGTTGGGTTTTGAGCGAACTCGGCGAGTTTATTGATAAACTCGGCGAGTTGGATCGGTTTTTTCCCGACTTTGAAGTTAAATGGAAAAACACAGTGAGTTGAAGGGTTGAAGGCACAACTCGGCGAGTTGGGTCAACTCGGCCCGTTGACTATGACTTTTTGAGTTTTGTCTTTGACCAAGTTGTCCTGATGGGGTACTTGAGCTAACCTGAATTGTAATAAAGGAAACTATGGGCTTAGGATAAGACTCATATGAGGTTGGGCCCAATTTGGAAAATTGGGCCATTAGCGGGCCTTTGTGGATCTTTTGGTTTTGGACCTTTTGGTTAATGGATTTGGGCCTCAGTTTTGGGCCATGAGTAAAATGGTCATTTTACCCCAAGTTTGGTTGGTGGGACTTAGAATGGAACCCAGTTGCTAATTGGGTGTTATTTTGATATGATAGATCGGAGGTATCGTCAGGGCAGCAGCTAGGGATTCTTGCAGTGAACTTCAGTATTCGATGTGAGTTACCTCACTGTACTATGGGTCGAAGGCACCAATGCCGGCCCATTAGGTTTATGCGTTATAGGAAGACTAAGGGGTGACCCTTGTCATTAGTATGAAAGACTTGGAGGTGACTCCTGGCAAGTCTGTATGCAAGACCAGAGTGTGGACTCTGGCAGTTAAGTAGTTAAGTATTGTAGATTGTATGCTAGTTGTCTTTGTGATGCTTGTATGGAAGACCCCCGGGGTAGCCCGTGACACTAAGATATTAGACCATGGGGGAGCCCATGGCATTCCAGGTAAAGACCATGGGGGGAGCCCATGGCATTCCAGATAAAGACCATGGAAGGAGCCCATGGCAACTATACGTATGTTGCATGATAATGGCACTTTCTATCATATGTTTGATATGTTCATTATGTTTGGTATGAATGGCATGTTTGGCTCGTTCGATATGTATGATATGTGGTATTTTGGGGAACTCACTAAGCTTTATGCTTACAGTTTGTGGTTTATGGTTTCAGGTGTTTCCGGTTCAAAATGGAAAGGCTCGGCTAGATCGCAGCGCATACACCTGTGTTTCCCGCAACATGTGATTTTGGGATTTAACTCTGATAATTGTTTTAATTTGAAATGTCTTTAAATATTTGGATACAGTTTCGTTAGTGTTTTGATTATATTAAAATAATTTTTTTTACCCTGTGAGTTTTGGATGTTACAAGACTTATGAAGACGTACTATTTGGATACAAGGTATTGTTATTTTTTATTCTTTTGTGCATTTCACTATGATTTTGTGACCTCCTCATTTTCACGGCCAGAAAATACCGATATTGTATATGCTTTATAAAAATCAGAGTACCCCTTTTATTAAAAATGTTGCGGAATTTGTTCCCAGAAAACATGATAAATACTTTATCAAAGCATTTCCGAAGAAATGTATTTTATTCATTTTAAAACATTTGGGATGTCATCGTCAATACAGACACATAAGCATAAACAGATCTTACATTCATTTACACTAGTGATCTACATCTCCTTAATCTCTCAGTGTAAAGTAGCTTCATATCGACACCTGTGATACAAATAAACTTGAGTGAGTCAGGTTGGGAAACCTGGTGAGCACATATGGTTTTCAACCCACAATAATATAATTATTATGTTTAAACATCAAACAATCAACCCAATTACTCATCCCCATTATCTTCTTTACTCTTAAGGGTCTACCCTAAGAATCATCTATCCTGCATTCGTTTATTCCGAAGTCCATTGCTTCCAGGTTTTATATGACAGGCACTAACTCCATAGCTGCCAATGCTCGTTCGTAAAGCACTAATTCCATAGCTGCTAAAGTTCCTTCATCGGGTACTAAATCCATAGCTACCAGTGTTTATCTAATAGGTATTAAGTCCATAGCTACCAACGTTCATCTAACAGGTACAAAGTCCATAGCTACCAGCGTTTATCCAATAGGCACTAAGTCCATAGTTGCCGATGTTATTTATTAGACACTAAGTCTATAACTGCCAATGTTCACTCATATCATCTTTCATCTCTCATCATTCATCTACCCATGTTTTACCCAACATATTCGTAGATATAAAATACATATACAGTTTAAATCATTTAAAATATGTATAAAATCGTTCATCCAGCATAGATAGCAAGTATACAGGTTATATGCATACATAGCACGTAATTTATATAAAATACTTCATATCTATGTGTAAGATGAAAGTAATTATGCACTCACTTGTTAAGGTGGTAATTTCGATCTCAGACAACGTTTCGCTTCTATTAATTCTACTTTCTTTCGACGAAACCTAGTATCATTACCACTAGATTTTAGTCTAATATTTAACGCGAATATTTACGAGTGTTATCATTTTATAAGTGTCAAACAATACTTTTCAACCACAATGTACAAACAGGGGCAAGACATGAAACACCGAAGGGCAGGACCATTTTGGCATTATAACACTTCTGAAATCCAACAACCATATGCGACCCTTCAAACCAGATTCCCCATACCGCAAGCGGTTAAAAGATATTATAACGACACTTATATAACTCGTAATAATAGCCCAAATATTTATTATAAGTTCATAATAAAAATACTAATATTAATTATAAGCTATACTTAAAGTAGGGTAAGCACAACTTACTTACAATGGGGTTTTAGCAAGGAGTCGGGCTCTGCAGGGGCAGAACTTCGTCGCTAAATCTTTCTAAGAAAGATTCTTGCAGCGCTTCAGCGCTCACCTTACTATACTAAAACTACAGAAAGAGAAGTCGAATCACGAGGGACCAATATGCCCGGGGCAGAAAGAGAAGTCGAATCACGAGGGTTTTAGCAAGGAGTCGGGCTCTGCAGGGGCAGAACTTCGTCGCTGAATCTTTCTAAGGCTCTTATTTATAGTAATTGAATTTTCAAAAACTACCTTCATAGTTACTTAATGATCTTATAGTTATATAAACAACTAAACACCCCTTTATAATACTATTTTAAATAGATTTAACGATATTTTGTACTAAACTAATGCCGAAAGTACTCAACACTAGTCTTATAATGACCGCATCGTCGATACCTTTCTAATGATATATACATATGTATATATATGTGTACGAATATATGATTTATACTTTATTTTAATACGTAAATATGCTATTAAAAATTATAACTCGTTCATACGAACTCCGTTTTTGACGTTCTTTATATCCACGCGTTGGTATTTACGAGTAATACAACTTTCATTTAGACCCCGTCGGCTAATTCTCATTCTATCTACGATTTACAAAACTGTATCGAATTTTATCGCGTTCGAAGAGTAGGGACTAAGTTTTGTTCATATCTTTCGCATACGAGCTCCGTTTTCGACTGCTTTTTATCGTTGAACTCCTATTAACGATATCTTTATTTCTTGTTTAGATTATTTTGGCTTAAAATCGACCGATCTAAAATTCAAATTCCGGGCTATGCACTGCTATGCTAAATCTTAGAAAAATCGTAACTTCCTAATACGAAGTCAGATTTGGACATTCTTTTTATGCACGCTCTCGGTTTAACGTATACTACGACTTTTGTTTAGACCGCTAAGGCTAAAAAGTATTTTATCAAAAATTCACTTTTTACGTTACGCGGTGTCATGTCAGTTTAGCCGTAAAACTTCGACAGGTTATAACTTCTTCGTTATAACTCGGATTTCGGCATTCTTTATATATACAGAACCCTTGTGACATATACTATAACATGGTTAAGATTATTCATTCTAAATAATCTTTCATTAAAAAGTCTTTTTTTTTACGATTATTGTCTCTAAATTGATTAGCCCGAATCTGCAGACGTTACAGATTTCATGGTAAAAGTTAAAAAAAAAAGGCATTACCAAGATTTTTGTGATTTTTCTTTAGGCGACATTTGAGGCATTTATTGGAATTCGAGTTGATAAAGCAACCGCTCAACTTAAACTCTTTGGAGATAATTTGTAGGTGTGATGTTGGATTTACTATGATCAATATTATTTAATAATCTAATTAATGAAAATATGTAGGTCGTGGAGCAAAATCTTCAAATGGACAACATGTACAAATCACAAGATGTGATATCTGCACATATTCGTGTCATCCAGCTTGTTTATAATTCAGGGGTAAGTTAATGTGACAAAAGACATGAACGCCCTCATTATCAAAAATAGTCCTAGAAATTATAGCTCCCCACTAGTACATCTATGAGCTTTGTGAAAGTATATTGTTAATATATGATGATTTATATTTTTAATGCAGGATGTGAATGGCCCACAAACTGTTGCCTTCAATCTTCCCAATGATAAGCGTATTGTAAAAGATATTGGTTCATCAATGGTCTTGTTGAAAAACATTTATGAGGCAAAGTAAAGTGAAAAATAGTCCATGATTTTATTTTTTTAAAATATATCTTCATTCTTAATAACAAGTTTTTATGACTAATTTTAGAATATTTTGTAAGAATAATCCAACAGGTTGAAACTAATTCTTCAGCCTATAGCAGACTTGAGTATTGTAAAGGAACAAAAGGAGCTAGTATATATTTTATCTACACAAACAATACCCGATTGGGGCCCCAAACCTTCATATGGGCCTAGGCCCATCACTCATATTGTCATGCCTTTTGGGCTGGACCTACATATGATGCACTAAATATAAGGATGTGTCATGTGACCGTTCTTTTAGCGTCAACGAATCTTGAATGCCTATTCAAACATGTCCACTATCAACTTTAATTACAAACCGATATCAACTAAACTATAACCTCCTTGTTTCTTCAACCTCATATCTTCCACACACTTTCTCAACTTCACAGCATCACTCCAACTTCCAACACCAACATAAGCATTCGCTAAACAAACATAGTACCCTGCTTTTCTAGGTTCCAAATAAAAAAGAATCTCACCTACTTTCTTCCCCATTTCAACATCCCCATAATAACCACACCAACTCAACATCGCCCCCAAAACACCTTCATCTCTCAACACCATCTTCTCTATAAACTCATAAGCCTCACTCAACCTCCCACATCTACCCAACATATCCACCACACAAACATTATGCTCTGTAACCCGTTCCACACCATATTCATCCAACATACAATTATAATACCCAATCCCTTCTTCCACCAACCCTGAATGACCACAAGCCGATAGCAAGTTTATAAAACTCGTTTTTGTCGGGGGTGTTTTGGTCATTATCATTTCGTTGAACACCTCAATTGCCTTACGACCTTCACTATGAAACCCGTATGCAGAAATCATTGAATTCCAACTTGCAATTGTCTTTTCCGATGAAGAACCGAATATGATGATGGAAATGTCGAGCCTCCCGCAATTGCTATACATGTCGATAAGTGCAGCGTTTATGAAACTGTTTTTGTGAAAATTTGATCTTAAAATATATCCATGGATTTGTTTTCCATATCTGATTGTTCCTAAATGTGTACATGATGATAACATAGTCACGATTGTGATCTCATCAGGTTCAAAATCCATGTTTTTAAACAAACGTAACGCGGTTTTCGCCTCCTTGTTTTGAGAAAGAACCGAGATCATGCAATTCCATGAACAAAGATTCCGGTCAACACACAAGTCAAACACTAAACTCGCACTCTCAACATCCCCGAATTTTCCATACATTGTGATCAACACATTTTGTACACGAACGTCTCGATCAAACCAAGTTTTATGCGCGATTCCGTGAGCTAGTTTCCCCGGAATCACCGATTCCAGGGTTCTGGAAGCGGATATGACGCTTACGAGGGTAACGGAATCGGGTTTTGTGTATGTTTCTTGTCTCATTAAGTTGAAAGTTTTTAAAGCTTCTAGAAAGTATCCGTTTTGTGTGCAACCTGTGATCATGGCATTCCAACATGTGGTGTCTACAACTTTTGAAACACTTTGTAATAATTTATAAGAAGCTTTCAAGTCTCCACAATTGGTGTACATGAAGATTAAGGAGTTAATCGCGTGGATATTGTTCGAGAACCCTAATTTCAACTCCCAACTGTGTAAAGATTCCCCAAATTTAAGAAATTCGGGTGAATCACAAGAAGAAAGGATTGCTAGAACAGTTGATAAACTGCATTCCAAACATTGATACAATAGTTTCTTGAATAGGATTTGAGCAAATCTTGAATTCCCATTTTGGATGTATCCGGATATCATTGTATTCCAAGAAACCAAATCTTTATCTTTTATAGACATGAACAAATTTTCAGCTTTGTCTATTTGGTTGCATTTGGAATACATGTTCATAAGACTATTATTCAATATTAGGTCAAATCTGGGTAATCTTTTTATAAAGAATCCATGAATGGTTTTCCCTTCTCTTAAAAGCAATGATTCTGCACATAATGAAAGCACAGAAAGTATTGTCACTGTATCCGGTTGGATAGAAGATTTTATAAATTGCATTTCACTCAAAAGATGAAATGCTTCAACAATCATTCCATTTGAAGCAAACCCTTGAATCATTGTATTCCAAGAAACCAAATCCTTATCATAAATCCCTCTAAACAGAGTCTCAGCAGCATCAATATCTCCACATTTTGAGTACAATGAAACAAGGGCATTTTGGACAGAAACATGAGGGGTTTCATCTAATCCAAGTTTTATTCCAATCCCATGAAGAGTCTTACCAATATTATGAAGATTTAGCAAAGAATTTGAAGCTGCAATAGCACATGATAAACTGACATCATCAACTTGTGTTCCACTAGAAACCATGTTCTTGAAATACCATAAAGATTTTTCAGGATGATGGTTTCTTAAACAACCAGTAATCATAGAGTTCCATGAAAATTTGTCTTTCACTTTGGAATCCATAAATATGCTCTCTGAGGACTCCAAATCACCAGATTTAGCATGTGCATTGATAAGAGCATTGCATAAATCAGGGTAAGAAAGTAAACCTAGCTTTAGGCCTAAACTATGAACAGCCTGTAGATATAGCAAACTATTTGTAATAGTTGACAATCCTGAAATGGCAATCACTAGAGTTACAGAGTCAAACTTGATTCCTTCATGTAGCATTTGAACAAAGAAGCTTATTGCATCTGTAAACTGTCCATTTTCGATTGTACATGTCATCATTGCATTCCAAAGTACCACATCTTTGCAAGAAATCTCACCAAAAAGTGCCAAAGAAGAAGGATAATGTCCTGCTCGTGTATAAGCTATAATAAGAGAAGTGGAAGTGGGGAGATGACCGAGAACACCGACCTTAAATGCTAAGGCATGAACATTGACTATGTTTCTAAAATCGGGTTTCACTTTACATAACTCAACAAGATCAAGAACATCAAAAAACCCAAAAGCGAAAAAGCTTTGAGTTCTCCTAGGCATTTCATCGAACGGTTGGCAGGGCCCACGAAAAAGTCTGGCCAAAATAGGAGAAGTGATGATGGGCAACAGCAAGCGATTGATGCAGGTTTTGTAGGCAGAAAATGGAACGAAATTGAGAGGGAACGAAGAAGGAGTCGTTTTCAATGATTTGCAAAGTACACTTGCCCAACGAATCATGCGTCGATGTTGTTATTATCGTTTCATAGGCATTTTTCAGTTCATTGATCTTTCTATGCTTAGACCATCCTCGTTGGCAACCAAGCATTTGTTGGTTGGCATATTTCAATTAAAAAAAAGAAAAAACATCATAAATGGTCCCTGTGGTTACTCAAAATCTGAAGTTTAGTCCCCGTGGTTTAAAAACCTCATAGATGGTCCCTGTGTTTACAAAGTTTACAAAGTTACACACAGAGAAGAACATGAAACCAAGAACCACAAAGAACATGAAAGACCTACCCCTTTTCGTCTCTTTACCTGAATCAAACTTTATTTCCCTTCTATCCTCTCTTCATTCACACAAACACAACCGATTTCAGTTTGATTCAAATTTAAGGCTCCGATTCAGACTTCCCCTCTGCCGCCACCGGAGAAAACACAATCCATAAATGAGGTCACAATCAGCTATGCTTCTTAAATGCGTGCGTCTCATGCGTGTCCTGACAAGAAGAAGAAACCGCTGCCCTTTTCTACGACTTGTTCTTAAACGAATCAGGCACCAAAAATCACAGCTCCCTTCAATCTCTTTTCGCCTAAATCGATCGATCTCTCATCTATTTCTATATTTCCCAAATCACACAAGGATTGGTCCTCCTTATCTAATCGATCGCAATCCTTCCCTCTTCTCTCGAATTTGATGTTGCAGATCTATCATTTTAGGGTCAGATTTGGTGTTGTAGATGTAGACAATGGACCTTGATTCGAGATTTGTGTGTAAGAATGGTCACCGGTGGTAGTGGGTATGAAGGTGGTTATCGGTGGTGGTAGATATGGCGTTCGTCGGAGGTGGTGTGTAAGAAGCCAATCACAAAATGTAGGCTATGATGGTTGATTCAATGCTTTCCAGTTTCCACATTCTTGGAGAGAGAGAGAGAGAGAGAGAGAGAGAGAGAGAGAGAGAGAGAGAGAGAGAGAGAGAGAGAGAGACCTTTTATATATTTAATTATGTTTAATTTTTTTTTTTTTTAATATACGAGAAAACATCATAAATGGTCCCTGTGGTGGTGAAATGACAAAAATACCCTTCAGTTAACGGACAAACTTAACGGAGTTAGCAAAAAGGACCAAACATCAAAAGTTTTGAAAACACAGGGACCATCTATGAGGTTTTTAAACCATGGGGACTAAACTTCAGATTTTGGGTAACCATAGGGAACATTTATGATGTTTTTTCTAAAAAAAAATTAAAAAATCCTTTAAAACTCAGGACTAGGTTGCTCCACCAAACTTCAAGTTGTCATTTTTATTTCTTATTTATTTATTTATTTATTATAACTCTTTTACACTTTAAACATTATGTTGTAATTAGTTTAATTTTATTTTTATTAAAAAAATAAACAAAACATACTAAAATAAGTAAAATAATTTTGTCTACAAATAAAGACCAATATTGATATATTTTAAGAATTTTTTTTATAATTTTTTTATGTTGTCTGTATAATCTTAAAAGAGTAGAAAAAATTGGGTTATAAATTGAAAAAATGTATAATATTTAGATTGTATAATATAATAAAAATCAATTATAAATAATATAAAATTTTGGTTTAGGTTGGGTTGCTAATGGATATGAAAAGTTGGTTTGGTTGGATTGTGTAGGTGGTAGAGAGATAAATTATTTTTTTAATTGATTGTTGAGTTGGTTTTGGTTGTGAATGAGAGTAGTCTTATGTCGCACATCAACTTCAACGATGGTTGGTTTTAAATTTTTAATATAGTTTAAAACTAGGTGCGACAGCATGAATATTTTTATATAACTACGAAATGATAAAAACATAGTCTTGCCTATGATTAATATTGCAAATGGTTTCAAAATGTGATAAATGTTGTTTAATTGATGATCGATGAGAAAAACTAATAAGATAATCTTACCTATAACTTTTATATAAATACAAACGAAATGATAAAAAACATCATGGTTTACTATTAAACATTAAAATTTAATAGAATAAAGATAACAACAACAATTATACGTCAGTATAATCTAATTGTTATAAAAAATCTCAACAAATAAGATAATCTAAAACCTAAACTTATATTTTTTTTATCTAAGTATGTATCCGCATAATGTAGCATATTCCAATTCTTTTCTAGGTGTGCACAAATTCTTTTAAACAAATAGTTTTCTTTTCAAAAAATATCATATTCTAAAAAACATGTAAAATATCTTTTTTTTTACCATCAACTCAACTTACGTAAAACGTAAAGTTGTAAAGATTCCAACGATAATAGAGCCATATAATTAATGAAAGAGGGAAATTACAAGGTTCTTGATGAAAAATATTTTTTGGCTACAAAAAAGAAAATGGAGAATAAATACTAGTTAAGAACCAAACCCTAAAAGACTAAAGGCTAAAGAGCCCATAAACATGTGGGGTAATAACATATAAGCTAACATCACCCCTCAAACTCACAATGTCACAACAATAAACATTGAAAGTTTGTCACACAAAAAGCGAAACCGAGATGCTGATAGAGCATTCGTAAAATTATCCGCAAGCTGCAAGGTTGATGAAACAAATGGAAGCGATATGGTTCCGAGCTGTAAGTGATGACAGATGAAGTGACAATCAATCTCAATGTGTTTCGTCCTCTCATGGAAAACAATATTCTTCGTAATTTGTATCGCACTTTTGTTATCACAATGCAAGGGAGTAAGTGAAGAAATGTGAACCCTCATATCTACAAGAAGCCACCGTAACTAGATAATCTCACATGTAGTCACAACCATAGCACGATACTCAGCCTTAGTGGAAGATCTAGAGACAACGTCATGTTTCTTGCTCTTCCATGATATGAGACTCTCCAAAAAAACACTCAAAATCCGGTGGTAGATTTACGATCATGACGATTGTCATCCAAATCAACATTACTATAGGCACGTAACTCAAGAGAAGACGTTGAGGGAAACAAGAGGGTCAGAAACCGATTGTCACGAAGATATCTCAGAATTCGGAGTATAGCTCCCCAATGAACAGAGGTAGGAGCAGTAACAAATTGATTGACAACATGAACAACATGAGAAATATCTGAACGAGTAACTGTGAGATAAACCAAACTTCCCACAACAGTCCAGTAAGGATTCAGATTGGACAAAGGAACACCATCAGTAGGACAGTACTGTGCATTAGTTTCAAGAGGAGTATCTACAGTCTGATTGTCAGAGAGGTCCGCCCGTCTAAACAAGTCAGATATATATATATTTAGTCTGAGAAAGAAGACACCATTTCTTAGACCGAGCTACTTTAATACCCAAGAAATAACGCAACAATCTCAAATTCTTTATAGCAAATCGATGAGCTAGATCATGCTTAAAAAACTCAATACCACCATGATCATCACCAGTAATAATCATGTCATCCACATATAAGGACAAAAGAATTCGTCCTGCACTCGTGATCTAATGAACAAAGTCGAATCATGATTGCTCTGGACAAATCCTAGAGAGTTGATCACTGTGGAAAATTTCTCAAACCAAGCACAAGGTGCTTGCTTGAGACCATACAAAGCTTTGCAAAGCCGACAAACCTCACCCGGATGGTGTTGAATTCCTGGGGGAGGTCACCATTCAAAAAAACAATCTTGACATCCATTTGAAAGATCTTCCACTGTCGAATAGATGCAACTGTAATCATAGTACTGACTGTCGTCATCTTTGCCATTGGAGAAACGGTTTCCTCATAGTCAAAACCGTGTTGTTGGGAATACCCTTTTGCTACAAGTCTGACATTGTACCACTCAACATACCCATAAGATTTGGTTTTTATCTTGTACACCCAACGATAACCAATTGTATGTTTCCCAAGAGGAAGGGGAACCAAATCTCATGTATGAGTCTGATAAAAAGCAGTGAGTTCCTCAGCCATAGCATTCTGCCAAAGAGGATCTAATTCAGCCTCAATACAACCTCTATACAATTCAAAGTAGTGAGGTCCATTTGACAACCTCAAAGAAGTAAAGAACATGATAACACATCTCCACCGTTGATTTATTTTAAACTAATAGACTCAATAGGTAGGGTATCATTGAAAATTTTCTATCATAATTCAATAACTTTGAATTTTATTGTTTTCCATATTCTGCTTCATCGTTGATCAAAATAATTCTATATTGTTGCTTCATCATTCACTTCCTATTTTAATGTTCCGTATTATGTGTATTATTTCTATGATTAGTATTTGTAATAACAAACCAGACAACTATTCGTATCGGACATATTGGATATTGTTGTTGATCTATCAAATGTGAATGTTCTTAACATGACAACTGTTCGAATTAGACATTCACATGTGAATAATCATCATATACAATGAGCTCACAATATCTTACGATTACTCATAGTTGCTCTTTCATATGTTAATGACCAATATACCCCTAACATCCTCTAAAAAGATAACTGGTATTTGGAATTTGGAATAAAATAAAGATGCTGAAACATGGTTCCATAGATTGACAAGTTTTAGTTTTACTGAAGATGAGGAGAGAAAGCAGTGATAATTTCCTTGTAAACAGGTTTCTTGAAATCCACAGCCTGTAAAAAAGAAAAGAAAAAAAAAAAGTGAGAGTGATGTAGGTAAAATGACGAAAAAGGACATGCAAAAAAGGTGGGCCCACGCACGCGATCAATCACTTGTTCGGGTGACATCCAAGCCCACTCTCCAAATTCAGCCTTCTCAGTGCCATCACCCAATAAGTTTATTTCTTCATCTTTTCCAGTGAACTTAAACAAGAACCTGTGAAAATTGTTTTTATATAAACAGACTGATTTTGGTTAAATTTGAAAGTGTAAAAACTAAAAGGTATGTATGGTTGACTATTTGACTCTGACTCACCACTTTTGTGCTTGACCCTTCCAATCAGAACCCCATTGTCGATTAAGCTTTTCCCTCACTTTTGGAGGAAAATCATATGTCAACCAGTGTGGAGACTGCATCATGATAAATGATATTTAAATATAATTTGAGAAAATTATTTTTTTTGAATAGCAGATATTTAGTAGGAATAGGATACAAACAAACCTCCATAAGAATTTCAGCTGATGTAACACCTGTTTCTTCTCTTAATTCCCTGATGGCTGCAGCTCTTGGATCTTCACCTTCATCAACACCACCCTGTTTCATAAACTTATATCATATCTCTATATATCTCTTTCAATTTCATATACTGTGTGGATTCTGAATTTCTGATATAAAAGATTTGGGTTTTAATCTACGTTCATGTTACCATAGGAGATGCAGGAGTTCATCTTATTACACATTGTTAGCCATTGCTGAGATAACTCTCAATCAAGGGTGTTTGGATGTAAGTTTAAAACTGAACAATCGTTCAGTTTTAAGTGCATGCGTGAAAATGATTATGAGTCTAATTTTCTGATTATTTTGGATCAAAATAAACAGATTTGGAGTAGTCTATGGCTTTAATGACCTGATTAATCATTCTTCAAGTTGCAATAATCACTTTTAAAACAATCATCCAAAAAAAAACCCCAAATAAAACAATGGTAAGGTACTCATAATCCATATCCAGAATTGATGTATTACAGTAAAAACCTAAGAAAGTTATTCCATTACAAAATCTGGCAATTTCACCAATCGAATTATGGAAGGATAAAACATGCATAAAGCAATATGAGGTACATATCAGTTAGGCGGATTTCTACACAATTGATAGATAAACTCAAACCAATTACTTTCGCAATGTTAATTGATTGGATTTACCTGGGGCATCTGCCATGAGTCCGGTATATCGAGCCTTGATGCTGAAAAAATCTGCATACAATTAATACTCCAGTCAGTTCAAAATTGTATGTACTTATATTAACTCAAATGAATCGGAAGAAATACAAATCAGGGCCATGATGATCTTCATTGAAGAAGGAGAAACGAACCTTTTTGGAAGAATTCATGAGACAGATACCGACGTTTCTTCTGTACCCAGCCGGAGGAGTTTCCATGGATGTCGACGGGGAAGCACAGGTTACAATCGGACGGAGGCGATTGGGAAGTGTGAGTGGAAGTTGTGTAAATTTTTTGGAGTAAGAAGGGGATTGAGGGAAGAAGAAAGTGGGATTCGCTAGTACTTGATGTAACGGGGGATTACAGAGGCAGAAGGAATATCGACATATTGCCATTTTAAGCTTTTTTTTTTGAGAAGGTTTCATTTCATCTCTTCCTCGCTAGCTATCATCATTGGTCACTTTCAATTTACGAAAATACCCTTCCTTTTGTTCTAAAGTTTCAGTTTCGTTGCTTGAACAATAATACAAACCGGGCCGGACCGTTATTACTACACCAAACTTTATGCACAAAAAGTCGGACCATATAATATTGGTTTGAATTTAGATCTGTCAATTTCAGACACGAATACACGAATCTGTGATAGACACGACACGACACGAATACATCTTTAAAAATTAAGATAAAGCTTATTTCTCATCGTGTAATTGTATCGTGCCAAATTCGTGGCTGACACGTTTTCATGACACGAATACACGAATTGTCAGATCTAGGTTTGATCTCAAAATGACAAGTGAAGCAAATTTTTTGCTTTATTGGGTTGTAGTAATTGGTAGAAATTACAGGGTAGTGGATATCAAAAAGATCTCGTAGTAATTGGTACAAACAAAGCAAACAAATATTTGTAGGATGGTATATTTTTACTATGCAAAATCTGTAACTTCTACCTTAAAGATAGGGGTGTTCGTTTGAATGGATCGGTTTGATCCGATCCAATTAAGTGAATCCAAATTGATTTCGGTTTTCAAAACATAGATCTAAATAGTTCAAACTAAATTCAAATCCAATCCGATTCAATCAAATTACAATTCGGATGGATCGGTTTTATTATTCGGTTTTCAAAATCGGAAATATTTTAAAACCACACATAATTAGAATGTTACCCAACTTTATAAAAGAAAAAAAATTATGTTGGTTGTGGTTTAACATTTATAAGCAACTACTAAAAGATATATTAAAATTAAAAATTTTATAGATAAAAAAACATTTTTAGAAAAATACATATTAAAGTTCTTTATTAGAAGAAATTTTTTGAATCTATTTGAAAAAAAAATAATAAATTAATAAATAATCACAAATATATATTAAAAATAAATAAATAATAAATTGTTATTCGGTTTTTTGGAATATTTGGTTCTTATTTTATAAACCAAAACCAATCCGAAATCCAAAGTAATAATTCGGTTTTGTTGATAACCAATCCAAAAATACGAATATCCGAACCAAATAGTTCAATCCAAATTGTCCAATTAGATAATTCGGTTTTATCCAAATAATGAACAACTCTACTTAAAGATAATGTACACAAAATCCGAATTAAAGGGGTGTTTTAAGTTCTTTTTTTTTTTTTTTTTTGTAAAAGTATTTTTTTTTTTTGCTTTAACTTTTTATGGGCAAAAGCCAAAAGTTGTTTTTAAAATTGTTTGGTTTGTATTTCTTGACTTTTTTAATGTAATTTACTTTTTAAGAGGCTAAAAGTCATAAAAAAAATACAATTTCTTGATTTTTGAAAACCATCTTTTTCTTTTTGGCTAAAAGTTATTTTGAAAAAACTTTTCTATTTTATGAACATCTATTTAAATTTTTTGACTTTTTGGAAAAACTAAAAGTAAGCAATCCCAAACACCTTGAGATGATCTCAATAATAATTATGTTGATTTTTGGGTAAAATTCAAGAAAGATTACACATTATCATGTGTTTGTTCAAGCCCGACCTAATGGGGTGAGGCAGGCGACGACCCATCATAGAGATTTGGGGTCCAATTTTAAAAATGTGAGTATTTATATAATAACAAATATGTAAAATAATGTCACGATAAAAGTTTTATATCAGTTGGTAACGCGCTCTAGGCTTTTAAAAAATTGCCCAAATTCGATTCTTAGGATGTTGTATCTCGGAAGGAATGGTGTTTCATCCCCATTTCAAATAAAAAAAAACCGTGTTATTTCATTTCAAATAAAAATTTACATCTTTTGTCTCTTTTCTGCTTGTTCAATATAAGGGTGAGCATTTGGACCAGACAGGATCGATTTTTGCACCGGACCGGTTTCGGAGAATATTGTGGACCGTGGACCGGACTGGATGAGACTTACCGGGTCCAAGTCCAGGTCTGTTTTTTCCGGTTTTTGGACATGGTCGGACCAGTACAACTTTACTTGCATAGAGTACAAGTCGTTAAAATAAGTTTTTAGGTTTGATACAACTCGTTAAAACGAATATGTTGTTGGGTTTGATACGTTACAAGTTGTAACATCCCAAAAATACAGTCTAAAAATTTCGTTTTCATTTAATAATAAAATCATAGTCATCGAACATCATATAAAAATCATAAACAGTGTATCTCAAAATATCGTAACAATTGTCAAAATATCAGAGTATAAACATCCCAGGCTGAACAGATGGTGTGTGCACTGCAATCTTCCCGAGCTCCTCTTTTGAAAACTGAGTACCTGAAACCAAAACTGAAACTGTAAGCACGAAGCTTAGTGAGCTCCCCCAAACTACCACATACCATACAATAACACATAAAGCAAATATTGGGCCTTGCCCACTGCATCAGACCGAAGTCCGGAATAACTTGGGTCTCGCCCACTGCATCGGACTGATGTTCATAATAACTTGGGCCTTGCCCTCTGCATCGGACCGAAGTCCGGAATAACTTGGGTCTCGCCTACTGCATCGGACCGAAGTCCGGAATAACTTGGGCCTCGCCCTCTGCATCGGACCGAATTCCAGAATAACTTGGGCATCGCCCTCTCCATCGAACCGAAGTCCGGAATAAATTGGGCCTCGCCCACTGCATCAGATCGAAGTCCGGAATAACTTGGGTCACGCCCACTGCATCGAACCGAAGTCCGGAATAAGCTGAACATAACATAAACATGAACATAAACATATAACATAATCACATACACTGCATCGGGCTTGCCCCGGCATCGGACCGAAGTCCGGACCATATAACACATAACATACACATGCATGAATCACAAAGACGTCAAGCATACATAACTACTTCTCCGGACCACCCCGGCATCGGACCGAAGTCCGAAAACATATAGATTGCGTCGGGCTAACCCCGGTATACTACCAATATATAAACGGGCCGGCATTGGTGCCTTAGACCCGTTCCTACTGGAGGAAAACTCACCTCACATGCTGAAGTCCCGCTGACAAAACCATAACTGCTGGATGACAGATTCCCGATCTGTCAATATCAAAAATAGCACCCAATTAATAATTGGGTTCCAACTCATAGTCATAAGTCCATGCTTGGGTAAGAGACTACCTTACCCCGATCTTAGCTTGACTCAAGCCCAAGGCCCAATCCAAAGGCCCAAAGGTCTAATAATGGGCCAAAGCCCAACTATGGCCCAATTTTCCAAATTGGGCCAAACCTCTACATGGTCTTGACTTAAGGCCTAATTGTTCAGTCCAGTCCAACATGTCTTATTCTAAGGGCCAAATATCATACAACCATCTAGGCCCAAACTATGGCCCATCTATGGCCCAATTTTCCAAATTGGGCCCAATCCTTCATATGGGCCTTACCCTAAGCCCAACTAATTATTCTAGTCCATTTGATTATTCTTGGATGGCCCATTAATAAACCAATTACCAAAGCCCAATGGAAAAGCCCAACTCAAGGCCCAAGTGAAATTAAGGTTTCACATAAAAATGATGATTAGGGTTAAGTGTTTCTTACTTAACCCATTAAGGACTTAATCCATTAAGTCCTTTGCTCTACTATATACATGATATGAAATGATTGGGCTTAATACATAATCCAATCTCAATGGCCCAAAAGTGGGTCCAATAAGTCTAAGGCCCAAATACTCACAATTAGGGTTTTCTAAACCCTAATAAGGGTTTCCACTCAAACATGGCCCAATAGGCCCAAAACTAATCCTTAAGCCCATTAGGGTTTTGCTAGGTCCATTAGGGTTTTGCTAGTGGGGCACCACCCACTACCAGCTCGAGTAGTGGTGGTCAATGGCGGCTCACGGCGGCGGCCACCACCTTACGGTGGTGGTTATCATTATTTTTATTATTAACCAAAGCTAATTACAATTACAATGTTTAATCCAAACATAAACACACACACACACACACACACACACACACTAACTAACACTAACTAACATACACACACACAGCCACACCATGGTGGCCGGCGGTGGTGCTTGGCGGCAGCCACCACCTCACGGTGGTGGCGGTTCTTATGAATTTCGGCCAATGACACTACACCCAACATCCACTTAACAACAGAACATACCCACACTTGGGCTTCGGTCTTGAAGAAGGAACTGTGACGGCGGCATGAAAGCTTCTAAGGTGGCGGTTGTAACTTCGTCACCTGCTTGGTCGTCGCCGGCGAAAAGATGCAACGGTTTGCAGCGGCAGCTAGGGAGGGAATGGTGGTGGAGAGGTGGCGCCGGTGAGGGAGGCATAATGGGGGGAAAAAAGGTGACAGCTGCTACTCTCCAGCTAGGGTTAGGGTTACGAGATTCCTTAAATACCCGCCTCCTTTAACACTTTCCCATAATAGCGAAACTAGCCCCTCCAACTTCTTTTTCTTACAAAATATGTCCATAAGTTACCCTTTAACCCCCAGCCAATTAAAATCTCTTCAAAAGAAGTCCAAAACTTACCTTTTAAACCCTAATCCCATAAATTTCTTTCAATTTAAGTCCATTAATTACCAATAGACCCCTTAATCCTTCCAATCTTTTCAATTTAATCCCGAACTTACACTTTTAACCCCCGACTTTTAAAATTCTTCACAAATTAGTCCGGGACTTACATTTATTAATTTATTTAAATAAAAAGGGCGTTACAACTCTCCCCCACTTAAATTAGATTTCGTCCTCGAAATCATTCCTTACCACTCCTTACACGCCGACTACTCAAGTAACATGGTCATATTCATGGGTACACCCTACCCTTCTCAGGGTAGTTGTGACCAATCATCGCAAAGCCCTAACATCCGCAGGCGAACTAATTCCTCGCAACAAGATCACATCTACTTCATCTGAATTATGCTGTCTCGAGATGGTCTGAATCCCTGACAAACCACTCTTACTGAATCATTATTGTCGAATCCAGTCCACTTGTCTCTCAGCTGTCTACTCATCCTCTTATAACTCAAGGCTCCCACTAGAAAACAGAATCACAG